GAAGGGTGAGGCCGCATGAGAGGGCAGGGGCTCAATTTCCGGCCCACACTAAAAGAGGGGCATAGTGACACATTTGCAACTCCAGCTACTCAGGAAGCTGAAGCAGGAAGATTGTGACATAGCAAAACCCTGTCTAGAAAAAAAAGAAAAGAAAAGAAAAGAAAAGAAAAGAAAAGAAAAGAAAAGAAAAGAAAAGAAAAGAAAAGGAAAGGAAAGGAAAGGAAAGGAAAGGAACAACACAGGAAGCCATCAGAGCCGGTGAGGCCGGGACGTGCATGGATATGCTGAGGCTCCTGGGGGAGGCGGCTTCCCCAGGGACCCCGTCACTCACCCTCTTCCCTTCACCAGGGAGGAGAGGGGCTGAGGGGGAGGAAGTGCTGGGCCAAGGGGAGAGGTGAGCAATGGCCATGGAGCTTGAAAACAAGAGGTGACAACAATCCCAACGGCAGTAATAATGGTGACGATAACACTTACTCAGCGTCTGCCACGTGCCACGCCACACCCCACGCGCTATCACATCGGAGCCCACACCAGCCCTGCAAGTTCAGGCCGTTATTATCCCGGTTACAGATGAGGAAGTGAGGCCAGAGGCCCGTCCGGGGTCGCACACAAAGGAATGCAGATCCAGGACTTGAACCCACGCACTCTGGCCCAGTTCATGACGATAGCCAGTTACCAAGCGCCGTCCCGTGCTCTGGGCCACACATGAGACCTTACTCCATCCTTGCAACAGGGCTAAAGAAGCAGGAATCAAGCCCCCATTTTCCACATGAGAAAACCAAAGTGCAGAGAAATCACACTCGAGATGGCAAAGAGGCTGACAAGAGACAGTGGTGGGATTCGAACCCAAGACCTTCCAACACCAGCACATGTTCTCACAACCACTCCATGCCGGGTTCCACGCTGGGCTGGAAATGCGACAGGAGGGAAGGCTTCCCCAGCAGAACCCAGACACCGTCCACACGGAGAACCACAGCCCAGGGAGACAGGTGACACTGCATTCTCAGACTGTCACCTGCCGGTCCTCACCCTCTGCTAGCCCCTGGACCAGCCTGGCCTGCCCACGTGGCCACATTCCCAGCAGTGCCCAACGACCGCCACCGCCTGAGGCTGCCTCCTCTCCAGCCACGCGGCGGTCACTCACCACAAAGGGCCCGCTCCGCTTGTCCTTGCAGAAGCTGTGGCTTCTCCAGGGGCCCAAGGCCACAGGGGACACCTGCCCGTTATCCTGGGAGGCATCCTCCTTCTCCAGGTCCCGCAGCGGCATCTGAGACACAGAAGATAAGAAACGGACTTTACTGGGGGCCTTTCTAGTTCCAGGGGAAACCGTCACACCGAGAGAGTCCATTCTGTACCAAAAAGGGATAAAGAAGAAAACTAAACGGCCAGAAATCTTCCTGCCTTAATATCGGAGGTCACACGCGCGGACAGTGTGTCAGGGCTCCGGTGACCCAGCATCGACCTCCTTTTTCCTTTTAATTTTTAAGATTTATTTATTTTATTTTATTCATTTATTTATGTTTAATTCGCCAAAAAGAGAGAGAGAGAGGTAAAGTGAGAAAGCAAACCTCCAGGTGTGGGACTCAAACTGCAGTCAGCCATGTGGAAGTCGAGCACCTTCACCACCACGTCACCTGCTGTCATCTGCCCCCAGCCTTGACCTCCCCCCAAGAGGTTTTTGTTATAGGACGCGCGTGCTCACCAGAAAGACAGAGAGAGACAGAGAGACAGAAAGCGAGAAACCACCCCCCACTCCGGGACTCAAAGCACAGTCAACCACACGGGAGTCCAGCAACAGAGCCATCACACCAACTGCTGGCCCCTAGCCTCGACCTCTTAATAACTGTGTGACCTGAGGTGAGTGCTCTCTGAGTCTCAGCCATCTGGAAAAGGAACGACAATAACCATACCCAGGTCGGCAAAGCAAGTGAGGGTCAGTGCGAGGGAGGTGCTTGACACAGCACCGCCACCAGGGGGCAGACGCACAGGAGCCCTGGGTGCTGGCCTGGGTCACCCTCGTCTCCGCCGTCCCTGGCGGTGGGGGTACCCCAAGCATGTTAGCCAGTCTCATGACTGCCACTGCTACTTCTCGGTGACCTTATTTTAAACATTGCTCCATGCATCCAAATGCACGTGTGCACACGCACACACGCAATGACACATAAAGAAACAGCACATGGGGACCAGCAGGTGGCGTGGTGGTTAAGGTGCTGGACACTCCCACAGGGCTGACCACAGTTGAGTCCTGGACCTGGTGGCTTGCTTTTTCACTTTCCCTCCCTGTCTCTCTGTCTCTCTCTTTCTCTCTGTGTCTCTCTCTGGTCAAATTAAAATAAATAAATGAATGAATAAATAAAATAATTCTTTACAAAAATTAAAAGAAAAGAAAAACAGCTCAAGAATGGGGTGGTCCTCCCAGCCCTGTCGCTCTCTCCACCCAGTTATGTAGCAGGGAAACACTGACGGGTCAGCAAACACAGGCCGCCAGAATTTGGACTTTAGATGCTGCACACCCTCCCCTCGCAAACTAGGCAATGGAGGCCCAGAGAGGGGAGGCGCCTGCTTAAGAACACACAGCATCAGGGTCAGCAGGTGGTGTAGTGGTTAAGATGACTCCCGCGTGGCCGACTGTGGTTTGAGTCCTGGACCCGGTAGCTTGAAACACGCCAGGTGCGTGTGCGTGTGTGCCCAAAATCCCGAGAGGAGGCTGGAGGAGAGGGGACTGTGGCATGGCCATCCCCTCTGGGGGTGATTTTTCAATATCTCTTTGTCTCTCTAGGGAGCGCACACACCCTATAGCAAAAATCTCTCAAAACAAACAAACAAATAAAAAGCACACAGGCATCAGTAAGAACGAGGGAAGTCGAATCCCTTCCCCCACGGCCTCTTTCCTTGTGGCTGCTGGTTTTCCTCCTTCCCATCTCAGCTGGTCCTTCCCAGCTTCCCCGGGTCAGGCACACAGCCCCCTCTTCCACTGCTCCATCGCTCTGGGCCCCTCCACACTCCCCCCATGGCTCTGAATAAATCGCATCCACAACCAGACGCCTCCCTACTCAGCCTCAGTGTGGGGACTCCAGACGCCTCAGTGTGGGGACTCCAGACAGACCCCACCACCACTCAGCGCCTCCTCCCCGCGGCTCACACGCCTCCCTGATCCACATGCCCAGACGGGCCCTCGACTCCTCTAAATGCTCCTTCCTCACCTGCTCGCCCCTCAGCTCTACGGGCCACGGCCCGTGGGTGCCCTCTGTTCTCCTCCACCTCATCGACAACTCGGGCTCCACCGCAAACCTCATATTCTACACCAAAACCAACCCGACAGAGATCAAGATCCAAATGTAAGAGCTAGGGCTGGCCCCATAGCCTAGTGGATAAAGGACTCAAATCCCACAGAGTCAACTGTGGTTCAAATCCCAGCTATGGCGGCTTGAAAAACACACCAGGCACATGTGTGTGCCTACCCCAAATCCCAACAGGACAGAGAAATGGAGAAGGGATTCCAGAACAACCACGTCCCATTCGGGGGTGTTTCTCCCTCTCTCTTACACTTTCTCTCTCTCTGTCTCTGGAGGACAAACCTACCCTCTAGTAATTAAAAATAAAGTAAGATCTAAAATCAGAAGTCTTAGAAGTAAAATATAGGCATAAATCCTGATGACCCTGTTTTAGGCAACGGTTCCTTAGGCAAGACCCCAAAAGCACAAGCAACGAGGGAAACGTTGGTAAAATGCACGTTGTCAAACTTAAAAACATTTATGCTATAAGGGGATCATTTGGGACCAGCAGATGGTGTCATGGTTACATCACTGGACTCCCCTGTAGTCGACCGTAGTTCAAGTCCCGGACCTGGTGGACTAAAACTCACATCGAGTGCATGCATGCCCAAAATCCTGAGAGGAGAATGGAGGAGGGACTGCGGTATGTCCATGCCCCCTGAGGGGGGATTTCTCGCTTTCTGTCTCTGTCTCTCTAGTAAGTGTGCATGCTCTATAGCAAAAATCTCTCTCTAAAAAAATAAATAAATAAGGGCATCAATTTAAAAACTAAAAGCCAATCCACAGAATGGGAGATCATTTAGGCACACATGCTATAGAAAATTTTAAAATAATAACGATAGATTAAATAAATAATTATTTTTTTTTAAATGATGGGGCCAGCAAGTGGGATATTGGTTAAGGCGCCGGACTCCCACATGGTCGACTGTGGTTCAAGTCCCAGAACCGGCAGCTTAAAACTCATACTGGGCACATATGTGTGTGTGCCCAAAATCCCAAGGAGAGAATGGAGGAGAAGGGACTGCAGTATGACCGCCCTCCCCAGGGGGCTGAGTTCTCATTTCATCTATCTCTGGAGAATGCAAGCACCCTATAGCAAAAATCTCTCTAAAAAATAATTAATTTAATTTAATTTAAAAATAAGTAACCGTGCAGTGTGGGAAATCCTAGAGGACATGAGAAACTGTAACAGTACGAGGCTGGAGGGGTCAGTGGGAAAGCAATCCCCTGTGAGACTTGCCCACGTGGGAGGGTCTGAGTTCGCATCCCGAGATCTCTCTGGACTGCCAGCCGCCCATGTTCCCATGATGCATTGCTGGCGGAGGCTGGAACGAGGTGGCAGGGTGAAGATCTCGCTAGGGGTAATCATCTCTCTGTCTCTCTCTCTCTCTGTCTCTCTCACTCATGGAAGAAACAATTAGACAAATTTAAAATCTGAAACAGCGGTTGCATGTGGGGGAACACTCCCTTTTACATCCTACACCCCCGTAAGGCTTGAACTTTGAACCACCTCTCTATGGGTTTTTCTGCTGGTGTGTTTGTTTTGCTCAAGAAGCAAAGATCCTCAGGCAGGAGAGAAGTCAGAAACGGGGAGCTGTCCAGGGCTTCCCAGTCCCTTGGTGAGAAAACAGATCCCCTGACAACCAGCACTCCTGGGGCCTGCGCTCCATCCGGGCAGGCATCCAGGTCCCGGCTGGGGGACGGCCGGGCACAGGCACCCCCTCCGCTTGGCTCTCCCACAGCCAGCGGGCCCCTGAGTGAGGTGCTGGCCGACGGATGAAGTGTCACATTTCCACGGCTTCCTCCCTCTCCCACTGTCCCCACAGTAACTGCCACAGGCAAAGCCCTTGCAGGGAGGGACGGGAACCATGCTGGGCTGAGGCAGGGAAGGCAGGGATCAGATCGCTGTGAACCCAGCGAGGAAACTGAGGCTCGCAGGGGCAGGGTGACTGCTGGGAGGACAGCGGGTGAGCAGTGAGCGGAGGCTCAGAGAGCACATTTGTACGATCGAGCCCAGGGGAGAGCTCGGCCGCTCACGAGGGACCTGCTTTCTTAGCTCTTTCCTTTTTTGGAGAGGTTTTTGCTATAGAGCGCATGCACTCATCAGACAGACAGAGAGAGACAGAGAGACAGAAAGCGAGAAATCACCTCCCAGGAGGGATGGCCATGCCACAAGCCCAGGGGAGAGCTCGGCCGCTCACGAGGGACCTGCTTTCTTAGCTCTTTCCTTTTTTGGAGAGGTTTTTGCTATAGAGCGCATGCACTCATCAGACAGACAGAGAGAGACAGAGAGACAGAAAGCGAGAAATCACCTCCCAGGAGGGATGGCCATGCCACAAGCCCTTCTCCTCCATTCTCCTCTCGGGATCTTGGGCACACACGCACACGCGCCCGGCGTGAGTTTAAGCCACCGGGTCCGGGACTCGAACCGCAGTTGACTACATGAGAGTCCAGTAACATAGCCTTTAGGGACCTGCTTTCTAATCTCATGCCACATGTCCTCCCTCTCACCTTCAGGTAACCCCCACTTCATGACCTCCCTGACTGCATCCCGTTGTTTTGTGTCCAAGGTACCACTTTCAAGACCAGGTCCCTGTCCTCTTATACAGACGGGGACACTGAAGTTCAGGGAGGTGACGGGTTTGTCTTTCATGGCGAGGCCTGCACGGGGCGTGTGTGGCACTGGGCCCTGCTTGGCTGCTACTGCTTCATTTGGGGGGTTACCGAGTCAGCTTCCACAAAGTGCACGCCATGTTCACTCCCGCCTCCAGCCCTTCATACGTGCAATGCCCCTGCTGAGAATGCCCTCACCGCCCCTCATCGGCTCCCCCAAATTCATGTCCGGCTGGGCTCCAGCCAGCACCTCCTCCGGGAAGCCTTCCTGGGCCTCTTCTCCAGCACCCACTCTGCACCATATCATTTCCTGGCCTTGGATCAAGTATCCCACCACCCCACACAGATCAAGAGCTTCCCGAGAACACCCTCCATGCCTCAGATTTCTTCCCCGCCCTCGTGGCTGTCCGTTCTCCAGGGCGGCCTATCAGAACGCGTCCTATACCCACGAGGTATGAGGCCAGGTCTGGGCTCACACACTAGCTTTGCCACTTGTCACTGTGTGACCTCAGCTGAGTCGCTTAGCCTGAGCTTCCGTTTTTGCCATCTGTGCAGGAAGATGACCATGCCCGCCCTCCCACACTCTGACTCATGCCAGTGGCAAAGCCGTCCTGCTAGGTGAGGGTCTTCTTCCACGCTGAGCACGGTGCCAACCAGGAGGGGGGATTCAGAATCGGCCTTGGGCAGGGACAGAGGCATTGGAAAATACGAATTCCGGGTGACTTGATGGGTGGGACAGCTCGAGAGGTGTCTGGTGCCGCTGCCCGGGGTCCCCGGTGAGAACGAGCCTCACATCCCACAGTGGCACCTGCGTCATCTGCTCCCCTTCTCCACTCCCCTCCTGAGGATCACCTCCTGGAAAATACTACTTGCCAGGGAATGCTCGTGAGGGCTCAAACCAACGTGGCTCGTCCTTTGAGGCTCACGTAGGGTCGCTCATTCGGTCATTCAACAAACATTTCTTGAATGGTCACGGAATATCACGCATGATGCCAGAGTCTGTGGCTCCAATAGGAAGGGGGTAGACGTCAAGCCAGCTTCGAGACCGGTCGTTACTGCCATTCTAGGCCAGAGGTCTGGGACAAGGGGGCCCGCGGGCTGCGAGGGGGGAGCAGACAAATCTTTTTCGGACTGAGCTGCATGTTTTGACTGAGATGCCCTCATTTCCTAAGGAGGGGATTACACATAGAAACCGGGACTTTCAGATGTCCTTGAGTAATGAGGCCTGCCACTCCAGGGCCACCACTGTCACGTGGTGAGAACCAGCCAGAACCAGGCACGACTGCCCTCCTCAGACGTGGCACGAGCTCTCCATCTGCCACAAGCCCCGCCGCTCCCTAGAGTCTCACACCCGGCCTGACCCTACCCATGGGCGTGCCCACACGGTCCACCGGAGATCTGAGTTTGGAGCCTAATCAGTGTCTGACAGAACTAAGAGACATAGAACTCACCTTGTGACTGTCCCGAGTCCCTGACTCCCGGCGGCAGGGTCCCATGTTGGCATCTGGACTCTCCCCGGAGAGGCTGGGCCTCCCTCCGGGCTGCTCCCGCCTGCGCTCTCTGGCTTCCTGCATGACGGACAGGCCCTCTCGGATCCTGGCAGGTGGGCCCTTCTCTGAGCAAGCCCTCTTGACCTCCAGGGGCAGCCTTCCACAGTCTCGGGGGTGGCCATCAAATTGGGGCACACTGCCCTCCTCTCCACGCCCCGTGGACTTCCTTGGGGCCCCTTTCTTCCGGTCAGAGGGAGGCGATCTGGGTGTCACCCTGACCCCGCCGCCAGGACCCTCCTGGGCAGAGGGCTTGGCCGTGGCAGGGGAACTCTGACTTGTGCCGGGGTGCTTACTAGCGACGGCCTTGGGTTCGTCCTCCGCTGCTCCAGAGGCTTTTTTCCTGGGACCTGCAGGGACAGAAGAGGCCCCCGGAGACTTTTCGGAAGGAGCCGAGTGTGGCAGGGCCCAGAGAGGAGGCCTGGATTTGGTGTTGGCGGCTGTCCCCGGGGTCTCTGCCAGCTGCTGGCCTGAACCAGGAGTGGGACGGTGGTTCGTGTCAGAACGGCCAGCTTGCTTCTGAAGACCCTCGGCGTCCGACAGCTCCTTCAGGCTCCTCCTCCTCCGGTCCACCCCACCGCGCTGGCCGGGCCTCTCCCGAGGGGACACGCTGGGCTCCGGACTCGGACCCTCCTTCCGCTCCTGGGCCTCCCCGGGGACTGTCGAGGGCCGCTCCTTGTACTCGGCCATCAGCGCATCGATGTCCAGGACGCTGGACCGGTAGGTGTCTCGGATTTTACCCGGGAACGTCTCACTGACCACGTCCGTCTTCCTTCTGACGAGATCTTTCGGACGACTTTTCGAAATCGGGGTAGTTTGGGGGGCGCTGCTGCTGAGGGACACCTTGCTCCCGCTCTCCTTCCAATCGTTCTGAAATCCGGTGATGTCTTCAGATCTCCGGCGAAGCCATAAAGCGTCCACGTTAGCGATTCTTTCGCGAGAAGGGTCCAGAGTCCCGTCGCCACGAGCTGATGAACGATCTGCTGGCCTTGGAGTCCTCGAACTGCTGACGCTTCCACGCTCTCCTCCCCTGGCCCGGTCCGGGGGCTCTGCATGGTTATGAGAAACTGCAGTAGATGTTAAAGAATGAGGAGATGGAGGAGCAGCTATCTTTCGAGAATATTCTGGCAAGTTTTCAGGCCCTGACTTAACGACACCCTTTACCTTCTGAGTATCAGGAATCTGATAGGTTACTGCAAAAAATGTCGCCCTGGGCTCTACGGGGGACCCTGGTTTCACCGTTGGGAACGTCTTGTCCTGTGCAGCCGCTGGGCTCAGCTCCTGGGCGTCCGGCCGATGGTGGGGCAGCTGTTTTAAGGCACCGGCTGTGGGGGTCAAATACTCTGCTTGTCTCTGCTCCACATTCGAAGGGCTCTCTGGGGCCACGAAGCTGAATACATCAAATTTCACGTCATGGGGCAAAGTCCGCCGCCTCCATCTGTCCACTCTCTGATCCGTGGGACCGGCTTTCCGCATTTTCACTTCTGGCTCAGGCACCAGGGCTGGCCGTGGGCCTTCTGCGGTAAGGGAGCCCCTCTGCACAGAAACCACATCTGAACGTGCCTGTCCTCGGGGCTCAGGGGGCTTGTCCTTGGCCCTGGAAGAAGGATCCAGGGGATCCCCTTGGGGAGGGCCCCTTTCTTTGGCTGAGACAAAGCCTCCTGGCTTGTTTCCGGCCCTTTCGGGCCCCTGGTGCTGGGCCTCCCAGGAGGTAGCCTTGATAACCCTCACAGAGGTGCCCTCGGGAGCACAGGGCTCGTCACTGACCGCCACGGGGGCTTTCTGCCAACTTGCCGCCATCCCGCCCATCCACTTGGGTGATGGGCAGTGGACCCCCAATACTTCCTTTGGTTCTCGGATGTCGGGCTTTGGCCCCGTGGCCTCCTGCGTCCCTCGAGCTTCCCAAATCAAACTGGCCCTCTGCACAGAGCCCGCCTGGCCCTCCGGACTGCAATCCGGGTCAGCCTCCTGGGGCAGCTGTCCCCCCTTCGGTGCGAGCAGTGGCCTGCCACTTCGGAGAGCCACAGCCTTCTCCTCCAGTGCCGTGGAGACAGCCTCACTGTGTGCACGCTTCCCCACTGTGTACACGACATCATACTTGGGCTCAATCCTCTGGAGAGGGGACGGATTTTCTGAGTGCTTGAGGAAGGGGTTATTATTGAGCTTTTCACCCAGAGGGGACTTTTCCAGAAGGGGCGTGTGATACCGTCTGGGCTCACCGTTTGGAAGGGCAGTTCGTCCCGATCTCTCTGTCTCTGCATTGTCGAACCACCTGGAGTTCTCTTTCTTGGGGTTTATCACTTCCAGCGACTCCTTACCCAACCGAGAGCCTTTCTCGGGCCTGGTTGTGGGCTCGGAGACGTGGCCATCAGCCACATCGCCAGGAGGTGCGGCTGACAGACAGCGCCCTGACGGGCTGGCCACGGTGTGCCTCTCCACGTGATGCTCAAACACCGTGGCCCACACGGTCTGGAAGCTTCCGTCATCTTCTGGAGTGACTTCAGAAGGACGCAGCGGTCGTCCTGAGTGCTCACCCCGACAGCTGTCAGGGTCTTGGTCAGAGCCGTCTTCCCGCTCCGTCTGCCTGGATCTCTCCCGGAGCGGCCCGGGCTTCCAGGAGCTTCTCGGGGCAGGTGCTCCATCCACACTGTGCTTTTCCTTTGGCTGGACAAAGAAAGCAAAAAAGAAACTGCTCAGTGCTAAGGATCTGGAACGGAAAGGAAGAGGGGAGGTGACTGGAACAGCTGCTTCTGTACCTCAAACAACAAGGGATCGAGAGACCGTCAAGACGGAACCTATCGAATGCTTGAGAATGTGGACGATGGAACAGAAACGGCCATGACTGTGGGGCCAAGTGCATACCTATCATGACTGAAAAATGGTCATTTCCAGGGCTGGCAGGGGGCATGGTGCTTAGGGCTCTGGACTCTCACATGGCTGATAGCAGTTGAAGCCCCAGACCCGGTAGCTTGCTTTCTCACTTTCTCTCTCTCTGTCTCGGTCTCTCTTTGGTGAGCGCATGTGCTCTACAGCAAATTTTACAAATGATGAGGAGGGGACCCTTTAATTTTATGCACTTCAGTGCTCCTTGACTTTCAAAATGTGCAAGTTATTTGGTGATTTATTTTTTTAGTTTTTGCTGTACAGTGTGATGCGATGACCAGCGAGAGAGTGGGAAAGTGAGAAATCGCCTCCCAGAGGGACATCCATGTCACAGTCCTTTGTCCTCCGTTCTCTAGAGGAGAATGGAGAAGGGAACGTGGCATGGCCATCCCTCCTGGGGGTGATTTCTCACTTTCTATCTATCTGTCTCTCTCCTCTCCAGTGAGCGCACACACCTTGTGGAAAAACACCTTAACAAAATTACGACTCTACCCCAGAGCAGTGGAGCAGGCACTCAGGCCCCATGGCATAAATCTGGAGCCATCTGGGAAGGCCCAGATTTGAACCTGGATTGACCTGAGCACACCATGTACCCCTGTGACCCCAGCTAGCTGCCAGGTTGCTGGGGAAGGGGGGATCATGGCATGGCGAGACTCTGCCAAGAGAACCTGTCTCTCTCTCCCCCTCCCTGTCTCTTTCCCATGAAAGAAAAAGTGCACTTCAAAATAAAAATCAAAACTCTACAGAAGGCAGGGACCAGCAGTTAGCGTAATGGCTATGTTGCTGGACACCCACGTAGTCGACTGTGGTTCGCATCCCGGACCCGGTGGCTTAAACTCACGCTGGGCGCGTGTGCGTGTGTGCCCAAGACCCTAAGAGGAGAATGGAGGAGAAGGGAATGCGACGTGGCCATCCCCTCTGGAGGGTGATTTCTTGCTTTCTGTCTCTCTGTCTCTCTCTGTCTGTCTGGCGAGCACACGCGCCCTATAGCGAAAACCTCTCCAAAAAAAAAAAAAAAAGAAACTCTACAGAAGGCATCAACCACACACCAGTTAGACCTAGCAGTTCTTTTATAAGCTTTTTTCTATTAGGCAGATAAAACAAAATGACTTTTCAAGCAATGTAATTGCTGACGACCTACCTCTGTCTTCTACTGTACTAGTACGGGACAAGTACAGTAGACAACCATGAAAGGGAACTCAAGGGCGTGTCCACTAAATCTGAAATCCAAGTTTTAGTTCTTTAATGAAGCAGACACTCATATAGAAGAAAGCTGTGTCCCTTTGCCTCTTTGCAGAGGAAAAAAAAAAAATCAACACCTGGCAATCACGTTTGTTAACAGCATCGCACGCCTGGGGCTGGGGCATCCTGACTTGTAAGTCCCACTGTGAGAGGGAAAAGTGTTTCACTGGTCATGACAGTCTCTGATCCCTTGCCGGGCCCAGCAGATGATGAAAGCGCATCTTCCGATAAGTACGACCGCCCGCTGGACAGCGAGAAGGGCCCAGCCCAGCCACCCGGTACCTTTTCTCTCGGTCCCCTGGGCAGCTCGCCGCTCGGCTCAGCAAACTTCTCGTACGTGGCTTCGTTGCTTCCAGCCGAACTTGAAAACCTAGGACAGAGATCAGCGTTACTTGCGTGGGACCCAGTGCCGCGATTCCCCGCCACGGATCCACACACCGTGACTAGCTCAGGAGCTCTGGGGTGACAGGAGCCTTGAAGAGCAACCTGGACCGATCTGCTCTGAGAAAGGGCATTTCTTTTCCGGTCGTCAAAAGGAAGAGGACATCGTGGGGACAGCCTACCTCAAACACAGCATCACCGGGTTGGAGGAGACCCAGGCTGGCGTGAGGATACCTGCGAGCTAGTCCCAGCTCTCCTACGGCCCCACTGCGGGCGGGCGCTTGGGATGGGCATGTGACCTCACCTGGGACTGTTTCTTCATCTATATAAAGGAGATAATTAACCCCTCCTGTCCCCTTTTACAGTGCAGATAAGAGGCTACCCAAGGCCCTAATAGCTACGTGGGGGCGTTCGGGGAAGAATGAAGATGTCCCAGGAGGCGTAATTAATGGTTGTTAGCAACCCCGGGCACAGCCTCGGCCACAGACCCACCTCACCTGAGGACTTGAGGCAGTGGGCTGCCGTGGAAGGCCGGGGCAGTGGGCTCCTCTGCCTCTCTAGATGGCCAGGGCCAAGTCACTGCCCCTCTCTGGGCCCCAGTTCTCCCAGTTGTCAAGGGGAAAGGGAGTGGAGAGTCCTCAGGTGCAAATGCCTGAAGAGGCAGCCTGTGTTTGTTCAGGGCTGAGGCTTTGAAAAGAGAGGTGGGGAGAGACTAAACTGCTCAGCTGTGACCCACCCCGCAGTCCGCGGTCTGCCTCCTTGCCGGCACCAGGCCGTGATGAGTTCTAACAGCTCGGGGGCCTCAGTTTTCCCGTCTGTCGGATGGTCAAAATCAGGTGGCCCCTCCAAGGCATTTTAGGGACCCAGAGATAGGAGACAAATGGGGTCCTTTCTCTGTTACGGTAACCGAAGAGTTCTCAAACCTGGATGCCCATGACAATCACCTGCAAGTTTGTTTTTTTAAGATTTTTTTTTATTTTCATTTATTAGCAGTATTATTTTTATTTGCTATGAGGCATGGGCGTTCCCCAGAGAAAGACAGAGAGAAAGAGAGAGAGAAGGTGAGAAAGGAAGCTGCCAGGTCTAGGACTCTAACCACAGTAGGCCATGTGAGAGTCCAGCACCTTAACCACCGTGCCACCTGCTGGCCTCCGCACGTGGAAGCTTTCAAATCACCGAAATACAAGGGTGCTTCGAAAAGTTTATGCAAAAATGGGAAGTGTGAGCTTATTTTGGTGCAAAAAAAAAATTGAAATCCATGCATACTTTTTCATACTATGTATGTTTCCATAAACTTTTGTAGACTTCTTGTATGAGTCCCTCTGCAGGTAAAATGGGTGGTGCCCAGGCATTAATTTTATTTTTTTTTAATTTGCTACAGGTGTGTGCACTCACCAGCAAGAATCAGAGAGAGAGAGGAAGCAAGAAAGCACCCCAAGGAGGGATGGCCACACCACAATCCCTTCTCCTCTCTTCTCCCCTAGGGGTTTTGGGCATGCACACAAGCACGCCTGACATGTTTATGCCAACAAGCCCGGTATTCTAACCATGCAGTCCGCCATGTGGGACCCAGCACCTTAACCACCATGCCTTCTGGGTGGTTTTAAAGGGTTGAGAGCCACTGGCGTAGCTTTGGCCCAGTGGGCTGCCCTGGTTCTCAAGGCTGGGAGAGCAGTCTGCCCAGAGGCCCGCCCCTGGACGCTCCACCCCACACCAGCCAGGGTGGTGGCATGCATGTCATTAAGAGCTGGCCAATCCCGCCAGGTAGCATTTCCCTGTGTTGGCCACTTGGGAAAACAGAAAAGCAAAAGAGGTCAGAGGTGGACTCAGCTTAGAAAGTCATTATCAACCAACTGGATTTATAATATATGCCATTCGGAGCCATAATGGACCGAGGGCTGCCCGTGGGAGGAGCAACTCCCAGCACTGTCGCTCTGAGTTTTTAACCCCAATCCCTTCAGGAAGGTTTTAGGATTATTTCTATTTTCGAAGCGAAGACACTGAGGCTCAGAGAGGGGAAGCCATTTGCCCACGTTATCCCGACTCCTCTGGTATTTCGCAGCACACTCGGGGAGGCTTAGGCTTGACGCTAAGTGTTCTCCGACTCTGCGGAAGGAAGAGGAGGCCTGGAGACAGGCTGACCTGGAGTGACACCCGGCTCCCGGCCTCCTTATGGGACCTCACCTTTCCAACCCGCTTGTGTGAAATGAGCAGGTCACCCCCCTTCACTCAGAGTGCATGTGGCTGAGACAGGCCAAGGGACCTGGGCACTGAGTCCCACTCCTGGTACACGTCATATGTGGAGGGGAGCTGGACTAACCCCAACCCTCGGCGTCCTCATCTGAGACACAGAAACCACCACCACCTCCCTCGGGGTCTCCAGTGGGCAGTCTGAGGCCATCTGCAGGCTGAGACAATGTGGGGTGCCCACTTACAGTTTGGTCAGATCTGCCGACAGCGGCCGTGCCTGGAACACCCTCTTGCTGACCTCGGGCTTGGCCTCGGAGGGGCTCTCAGCAGGCCAGCCCTTGATCCGCTCCTGGACGCTCACGCCCCCCTTCCCAGGCTCTGCGGCTGCCGACGAGGACTCCGGGGTGGCCAAGGTGGACTCAGACCCTGCCGCCATGCCCAGGGCGCCCTCCTCCCCAAATAGGCTGATCCGCTTCCTGACGCTCCCCCTGGAGGTCCACTCGTCCCCTGCCGGGGCTTCCCCGTTGGCCACTCTGCTCTTGACCTCGGCAAGTTCTAGGCCTTTGCCCGACCTGGGCGAAGGGGACTCAGGAACCTTCCGCGGCTCCTGGTCCAGCTTTGCTTTCTCTTCCCAAGGGCTCTGGTCATCTCTGGGGGTGGCCCTGGCTGAGCCCCCGGGGGACCTGGGGCTGCCGGTGTCCACCTGCTTTGAAAGCATCTTCTCATGCCGTTCGCGGATTTTCTTGGCCACCTCCAGGAAGTCGGCATCTGGGTCCTGAGGGGAAGTCTCTCTGGCCAAGCACTCCCCGTCCCCCCTGGGCTCTGGGGTGGGCCTCTCTGGGGTCCGCCACTGGGCACCAGGCCCCCCGGCTGCCCCGTTTCCCTCCTCGGCCACCTTCCTCAGCAAGGCCTCTTTGCTCTCAAACGGGGCCGTGAGGTCCATGGACAGAGGCCTGGGCTTCCTCACCCACGTCTTCTCAGGAGGGGTGGGGGGCGCCTTCCCCACCGTGGCCACCCCCACTGCGCCTGGCTTCGGAGGCTGAACAGAGTCGGTGAAAATGGCCGACATGGGCCTCCTCTTCAGGCGAGGCCTGGGCTCCGGAGCAGGGTCCGCCCTGTCCTCCACGCTGCTGGCCTTTGGGAGAGGCTGGTCTGGGCTTGACTCCTCTTGGGGTGCAGTCAGCTTCATGTCCTGCGACAGGGAGGCCGGTCTGGGAAGGGTCCCCGAGGGCTTTCGGGCGGGCAGGGCGGGCTTGACGGCCACCTCAGGCCTGGTGCCAGGCAGGACGTCCTGAGCCCCGTCACTGACCCCCTTCTTCAGAGCGGGGCCGGGCTTGGTGGTTTCAAAGAGGATCATGGTGTTGGGGCCGGGCCGGGGAAATGGAGCCCTGTTGAATGCAGAGGAGCTTCTCCTCGACCCCTCCCCGCCACGGGCCTCCTGCCCCATCAAGCCAGGCATCTTCTGGTCCAGATCCTTCGCTGCCACCTCCTCAGACAGCCCACTGGAAGGGGACGACTTGGTCAGACCGGGCCACAAAGACGACACTGGAGATTTCACTTCTGGGGCCTGCTCCTTGGAGAAGGGTTTGGGGGCGAGCCTCGGCAGAGGGAGTAAGCGGGCCGGGCTCCTCACGGCGCTTTTTCCTTCCAAGATCCGGGCCGAGGGAGGCCCTGAGGGTTCACCAGCCTGGAGGAAGTAGGTCCGCTTCAGGGTGTCCTCTTTACCAATCTCTCCAAGGCCCGGCACCCCTGTCAGAGACGTTATGGAGCCGACCTCGACCCGCGTTGCCATGGTTACGGTTGGGGATCCATGGGGATTAAGAACGTGGGAAATGGAGAAGCAATCACTGAAAAAAAGGAAACGTGGAAAACAGTCAGGTCAAGGCCAAATGGTCTGGGGGGAAATGGGTCAGGGAAACCTGAGGCCCAGATTCTGGACAATGGCCCCCCACTGACCTCACCGGGCAAGTTCAGGCTAGTCTCCCCACTTGCCTGAGCTCTGGGCAGCGGGAGCGGACTAAACGGATGTCTCTGAAGTTCGTTCCAGCTCAGAGGGAACGGGGAAGGAGCCAACATTCGCAAAGTCAGGACTTTGCCAACGCAGCTCATCTCAGGGCCAGTTCCTACGGCTCCAAATGGTGATCTCTGCTGTTCAGAGACAGAAACCAGCTCAGAGGAGCACAGTAACCGGCCTGGCCTCGCTCAGGAAGCAAGAGGCACAGTTGGGATTCAAACCCGGCTTCCATCCCAGACTCACACCACACAGTCCAGGCTTCGGCCCCACTGGGCCTCACTCCTCTTAAGCGAAGCGCGTTCTCAGAGCCTGCCCACACCAGGTATCCCGGCTGACCCTCATCACAACCCTGTGCTGAGCGCCAGGCAGAGAAGGGAAGTGGCCCAGCCAAGCGCACACAGCGACCCAACGCAGGAGCCCTGAGGTCACGCAGCTGGTGTGTAGCCGTGGAACCCATGCATCACCCACTCACCCCACCAGACTGTCCTGGAGTCCCTTATCTTTCCCCCTGCTACTTTTCCGAGTGCATCTAAAAAATATAAATAAGCTTGGGACCAGAGAGTGGTGCAGACATAACACAACACTCCCCATGGAGGACCCACATGGGAAGGTTCTCAGTTCACGCTGGAGACATCCCTGAACACGCAGGGCTGGCTAAAGCGTGGGCTGGCATGAAGACTATTGGGGATGCCCCTCTGTCATTCATGGAAGAAATAAATCAACTTAAAAAATAAAAAAAAAGAAATCTGTCATTTTTCTCACTCCACCTCATTCAGCCTGCTGCGTATTCTTAGTTTAAATTTGGGTTCTCCGCTGAATGCCTACTTTGTGTAGGCTGCCTCATATTCTTAATAAGAATAACAGTCAACTCACTGGGTTCCGTGGGAGTGAGCCCGCGGGTAAGGCGAGCACAAGTTCCTTAAATCTCATCACCGTGCTGTGACGTGGGCACGATGATCGCAGCTCGGGGTTCAAGCTCCTTGTCCATCCAGCTATGGGAGCTCGTCTGTCAAAGCAGGAGCCCTCCTCTCTCGGTAAACTCCCAACAACCCCAAGAGGCAGGGATCATCTTTACCTTCCTTATAGAGATAAAGGGAAAGGGCCCAGAGAGGTCTCCCAATGTGCTCGTAACCACACAGCGGAATCTTAACCTCAAGTTCTGGATCCATTCAGCTCTGCCTTTTTTTTTTTTGAGAGGTGTTTGCTATAGGGCGCATGCACTCACCAGACAGACAGAGAGAGACAGAGAGACAGAAAGCCAGAAATCACCCCCCAGGGGGAATGGCCATGCCGTAATCCCTTATCTTCCATTCTCCTCTCGGGATCTTGGGCACGCACGCACACATGCCCGGCATGAGTTTAAGCCACCGGGTCCGGGACTCAAACCATGGTCAACCTCATGGGAGTCCAGTGACATAGCCGTTATGCCAACTGCTGGTCCCTCAGCTCTGCCTTTTTATCTTTTTATTCCTTTCTGGACCTCCAAAATGCCAGAGAGGGCCAGCCCGGTGCCATAGCGGTTGGGGTAGTTGGATGGCACATGGCTGAGTACACGGTTCGAGTCCCGGACCTAGTGGCTTAGAAAATACACTGGATGCATACGTGTGTGTATACCCAAAAATCCCAAGAGAAGGAGGAAGAAGAAGGGATTGTGGAGTGGCCACCCCCTCTGGGGGAAGATTTCTCACTTTTCTTCTCTCTCCTCCTCTCTCTCGGTATCTCTCTGGCTGGTGCACACGCCCTATAGCAAAAATTGAAAAAAAAAAGTGTGAGGCAAATCACTATGCTTAATTCCCTGGCCCCCCTTCGAACCAGTGTTGTCTTTTCCTGCAAAAGTGACCCTAGCCAGTACCTATGTACATGGGCTGAAAAAGGAAAAGGTATTTATTTTAGCAACGCAAGCCTCCCACTTCCTTTCCCAGGGCGCCCCACTGCTCCCCAGCTCTGACTCCCTCAGCAGGCTTCAGGAAGCAAAGACAGGCAGATTTCGGTGTTTTCTCTTCCTCACACAATTGGTGGTGCTAACGGACTCCTTCTCCCCAAACCAGAGAACACCATCAAGACACGGTGAGAGGCAGGACAGGACAGATGGGGGAAGCTGAAAACTGAAGAATTCCATCTGCAGAGACCACGGACGGGGTTCCAGAGCCCCAGGCACCCACCTCCAATCAGGGCTGTTCACCTGCACAGCCATTCCCTAAGGCCTCTTGGCAGCCTGCTCCGAGACACATAGGTAGTGAGACGCAAGACACAGGACTATGACAAAGGACAAGAGAGCGTTCCCTGGCAGAGCCAGCGGCGCCCTCCACCCCTGGCCACTCCAGCCCCTGCACTCAGGTTGAGGATGGGCTTCACGTACCCAATCTGGCAGGGCCAAAGTGGGGCTATGTGACTGCTGGTGTCACAGCTCACGGAGAGCAGGGCTGCCCACACACTCCCAGGCCAGAAGTGGGCAGGGGCGGAGCAAGGCTCATCCCGGCACGCTGAGTTTCAGCAGCCTAGGGAGACCCAGGACCACAGCCTGAGCCCCGACAGGGCATGCACATATGGCGTGTGCATGTTGGAAATCCAACCATGCCCACGGCATCTCCCTCGGCTGGAGAACTCGGCTCCCCTAGCTTTTCAGCCTTGACTTAGTAGCCCGCGTACACACACAGCGCTGGGTTCTCGGCACGCACGCGATCAGAACCCTCCCTCTATCTCTGCCGGGTGTTTGCTGAGCGCCTTCCGTGAGTACAGAGATGGACATGAGTCTTCCCTGCCACTGTGTGTGGTGTACAAACCACAATTTGGGGACCAGCAGTTAGTGTAATGGCTATGTCACTGGATTCCCATGTAGTTGACTGCAGTTCGAGTCCCGGACCCGGTGGCTTAAACTCACGCCGGGTGCGTGTGCGTGCGTGCTCAAGATCCTGAGAGGAGAATGGAGGAGAAGGGATTGTGGCATGACCATCCCCTGGGGGTGGGGGGTGATTTCTCGCTTTCTCTGTCTCTCACTGTCTTTCTGGCAAGTGCATACACCCTATAGCAAAAAAAGCCTCTCCAAAACAAAAAAAACCCCCCCAAAAAAAAAAAAAAAAAAGAACACAAACGCACGCAGGCGGTCAGAATGCTGGGTGAGAACCGCCATGGTGAGAACTGTCACTGGGGGAGAACTGTCACTGGGGGACATGGGAACGCACCAATGGGAAGACTGGGACTGACAGCTCCCTCGATGTGGAGGAGGAAACCATGGAGCTCTCAGGGTCTGACGTCCCAGTCAGCAGCCCTCGGTCACGGCCCCTGCTCAGGGCCTTGGAACATGCTGCTCTGCCTCTGGGACACCTGGAGGGGTCCTCCTGCTCACAGACAGACACAGCCCCCCGACCACAGCTAGATACCTCTGCCCCCCCCAACCTAGTAAGACCCCCTCTGGGCTGCATGAAAGCGCTCCACCCCTCGGACAGGCCACTGTCAGACACCTGTGGTGACCTCATGAACCTCACACTCTCCTGCCAGCTCACCTGCCCAAACCCGGAAGGAAGGCTTCTCTGCATGGCTTTTCCTGGGAAGGAGTCACCAAGATTGACCGTTGCTGAATTAGAATCAACAGTACACAGGGGCCAGCAGGTGGCATGGTGGTTAAGGCACTGGACTCCCACCTGATTGACTGCGGTTTGAGTCCTGGACCTGGGGACTTGCTTTCTCACTTTCCCTCTCTCTGTCTCTCTGGTCAGAGCACGTGCACTATAGCAAATTTTAAGAATAATAACAGTAGTAATTTTTTAGAGAGGTATTTGTTATAGGGCATATGCGCTTGCCAGAGAGATAGAGAGAGACAGGGAGACAGAAGGCGAGAAATCACCCCCCAAGGGGAGATGGCCACGCCACAATCCCTTCCCCTCCAGTCCTCTCTTAGGATTTTCAGCATGTGCACACACAGGCTCAGCATGAGCTGGTCCCAACAATGATAAATTTAAAAAATTTTATATACCTCCATTATCCTCCCAGGACTTTGGGCACACACACACGCATGCACCCAGCATGAGTTTTAAGCCACCAGGCCCGGGATTCAAACTGTAGTTGACTATGTGGGAGTCCAGTGACATAACCATTATGCCATCTGCTGGTCCCAAATAAATCATTCTTTTTATTTATTTATTTTTATTATTTTCGTTTTGGGGAGAGGTTTTTGCTATAGGGAGTGCGTGCTTGCCAGACAGACAGAGACAGAGAGACAGAAAGCGAGAAATCACCCCCCCGGGGGATGGCCACACTGCAATCCCTTTTCCATTCTCCTCTCAGGATCTTGGGCACACACGCACACGTGCCCGGCATGAGTTTTATGCCACTGGGTCCGGGAC